CTCTCTTCCACAGTCTCCGCTGCTCTGTTGATAACAGTTGATAACCTCACTATTTCACTGTTCTCCCTTTCGTTTACACACATGTACTCTGTCTTGCTGCAGGTGACCTTCATTCGTCTTCTTTCTAGTGCAAACCTCCACCTCTCTAGGTTCTGTTCTAGCTGCTGCCTGCTCTAACTACAGATCACAATGTCATCTGCAAACAACATAGTCCATGGGGACTCCTGTCTGACCTCATCTGTCAATCTGTCCATCACCACAGCAAACAAGAAGGGGCTCAGGGCCGATCCTTGATGCAGTCCCACCTCCACCTTGAAGTCATCCGTCCTCCCAACAGCACACCTTACTACTGTTGTACTATTCTCATACATGTCCTGCACCAAACTAACATACTTCTCTGCCACTCCTGACTTCCTCATACAAAACCACAATTCCTCCCTTGGCACTTTGTCATATGCCTTTTCTAAATCTACAAATACACAATGCAGCTCCTTCTGACCTTCTCTGTGCTTCTCCATAAGCATCGTCAAGGCAAATATTGCATCTGTGGTACTCTTCCTAGGCATAAAAGGCATGTGCGTATACACACATTTATATTATGTATTATTATTACATATATATAAATATATACACATAATTACATATACCGTATTTTCCGGACTCTAAGTGGCTGCAGAGTGTAGGTTGCACCAGCCAAAAAATGCATAATGAAGAAGGAAAAAAAACGTATATAAGTTGCACTAATGCCCTCCTACATTTTGATAACATGTAAATTTTCACTAGTAGCAGAGATACTGGTATACAAGCATAGAGTTCCCTCTAGCGGCTGTCAGTGTGAAAATATATATTTTTTATTATTTTAATATATAAGTTGCACCTGAGTATAAGTTGCAAACACAGCCAAAGGATGAAAAAAAGGGTAACTTATAGTGTGGAAAGTAAGGTATATAATATTTTATATCTATATCTATGTATACATATATTTCTTTACTTTAAATTGTTTAGTTATTCTTTAATAATAAATACATAGATCAAATCAATATTCTTTAATAAAATGAGAAAAGGTGTTGTATTCCAACTAAATTGTGCATGATATGTAAATACTCTGTCCAAAAAATGACCTACTCTGGAGCAATGTGTCACAAAGGAGTCAATGTAGTCCTTGGCCTGGTGGTTGTTAAACAGACAACACCTACAGAGACAAAAACAAACTGAACATCACAAACTCATTGAATCATTAAATTACCTTTGGATAAGATGGAGCTAAACTACAATCAGGTCACCTGTCCATCATCCAGATATGTATTATTGTTATTATTAATATACCTACTAAACTCTGGTTCCTCTAACAACAGATGATCTCATTTAATCTAATTTATTCTTACTCAGTTATAAATTATACATCAAAATGTATCATTTACTTTGATGAACCACTACCAGCCTCAGCAGTAATTTGCACAGATTTCAGGATGTCTTTAGTGATGCATCACTACCATGGATTGGGTGAAATCATGGATGGAGGTGGGAATCCTACCACTGAACTCCAAATTTCTTTTCAAATTCAAATATTTTGCTTATAAATGTGTATAAAATTGAAAAAGAATAGTACTTACTTGTAAGAAAGTACTGGAGGACTGACAAAGTATCTGAGAGCATCTTTAATCATGTCCTGCATCAGGTGAGTACCAAAAACTTTCTTATTATCGATCAGGAATGTCGTCTGGGTTTGAAGGGAATAAACAATTCAGTGTTTATGTTTTGAGATTAAAGAATGTGTTGTAAATTTAACTAGGCTGTTAATTATTGAAATAAATATGTAAGTGATTGTTTTCAGAAATAAAGAAAAAAAAACTCACCTGAAGTAAGGATCTAGAGAGGACACACGGCGACTGCTCACTGAACTCACAAAAGAAATCCTGAGCAGAGTGCCATATGAAATATTAAAGTGAAAAACATAATGTTATATATCCATGACTAGGACATGATCTGTTATTGGTCTTTTACCAGTATCCCATGTAGGTTGGTGGTGTTGATCACATCACAGACGGTCTTCACACGTTCTATTAGTTTGCTGAAATAAGTGACCATGTCCTCTCTCTTAATGATCTTGGCATAGCGAGGAAAGGTGGGGGGCAACAGTCTCTGGTTGACCAGCGGTTCAAAGCCCATCATGATGGGGTGGTCTGCGGAATAAAAGCCACAACATTTAACAGCACAGAAGAAGATGTTGTTTTTCACATAAGATGTATGTAGGAAAACAAAATGAGAGAAAAGTGTATAAGTGTCCATTACCTCCTTTGGTGGTATCATTCTGTGACTGAATGCCATGCTGAATACTGGAATGAATAGGTGATAAGAGGTCAGCTGCCTGAGCCACCAGCTTCTGGGCATCACTGACTGAGCTGGTCTGATAAAGAATGATCAAGAAGAATAATAATAAAAAGGAAAAACAACACAGAAGAAGGATAAAGAAAATGCACTTTTCTACACTGATGACAATGCATTAGACATGGATTAAGTCTTACCTCTTTTTTGGTGAAAGCTATCAGTGCACTCAGTAGAAGGCGAGTGAACTTGATTCTGTTGAAAAGTGCCAAACACTGTTGATGCTAAAAAAAAAAAAAAAAAAATCTGGATGTAACAAACTATAATGCCTACTTTGTACAACCTGGAATATATTTATCTTAAGATCTGATCTATTTTTATAACTGGTGGGGAAGAGAATGACAGTCTTATTAACCACATGTAGCTGACACATGGAAACATTGAGTACTGTTCAGATATCAGTGTTCTAAATCAGGTGGGACAAATTCAGACACCGTGTTCCAAAGAAATTGTATTCACACACTCACAGGACTGAACCATGCTCGACCGAGCATTTTAATCAGTAAGGACTGCTTCTTCTTTTTGGCTTGTCCCTTTTTCAGGGGTTGCCACAGCGAATCATTGTTTTTCATTAACCCTGTTCTCTGCATCTTCTACTCTGACTCCAACTATCCGCATGTCCTCACTGCATCCATAAATCTTTTATCAGAAATAAATACATAAAGAAATAAAGAAATAAAAAAAGAAAAGTAAGGACTGCTCATTTACTTAATAAAAAGCCACTATGTCTATGAAGATTCTCAGTCATCCCGGTCATGCTCAAGGTTGAAGAGTTGTTAGGCAACTAGACGTGAATGTTCTCAAAGAAAACGTTTCGGGTCTCATCCAAGAGGCTTATTCAGTTCTAACTGGTGGTGGGGAGTCTGGTAAATATATATTATGGGTGTGACAAAGAATAAAGCTTGAATTGGTCCTCCTGTGTGTAGCGCATGGTGCATACACTGCTACACAGGCGCATGGCCCAACACAGGAGGGCCAACTCCTCAGGACAGGACTCAGCTGTTCACATACACCTCAAGGACAAAACATGATTTGATGACAACAATGTTCACATTTTGGCCAGGGAAGACAGATGGTTTGAGAGAGGGGTAAAAGAAGCCATTTTTGTCAACCTGGAAAAACCACCACTCAACTGGAGGTGGGCTAAGACACAACCTATCACCTACACACAAACCACTCTTAGGAACAACACCCAAAAGCTTCTTCTCAGAGGCTATCGAGGCTTCACACTCGACTGCAAACCGCCCCAGTGCATGCTGCAGGTCCTGGCTCGAAGAAGCCAACAAGACAACATCATCCGCAAAAAGCAGAGAAGAAATCTGGTGGCTCCCGACCTGCACCTTACCCAACACCTGGCTGCGCCTAGAAATTATGTCCATAAAGATACTGAACAGAACCGGTGACAAAGGGCAGCCCTGCCGTAGTCCAACATGCACCGGGAACAGGTCCGACTTACTGCCGACAATGCGAACCAAGCTCCTACTCCGATCGTACAGGGACCGGACAGCCCTTAGAAGAGGGCCCCCAACCCCATACTCTTGGAGCACCCCCCACAGAATACCACGAGAAGTCAAGAGAAGTAAAATGGAAATCAACTTGGGCTTCAGCTGCCTATCCTGGTATTACAGTTTGTGTTACTTAAGGAAGAAATACAAAAAAGCAAATAAACCGCACAGTCATGGAAGAATAAACACTCACCTCCAGCTCAATGTCAGGGTCGCGGTGTTCACCCTGCCGACTGCGTGTGCTCTACAAGGAGAAATTTAGAAACATTGGGCCACATTTTAACATTGTGTGAAATTAAAAGTGTTTGTTGTTGTTGTTGCTGTTGTTGCATGAACCAATAAACTAAATAGAGAATTCTAAATGAGCTGATTTTAAAGAGGTTGTCTTAAAAGTAAAAAGAAAATAAAAGAAAAAAAGTTCCTGTTGTTTCAGATTTGGTTTTACAATCAATACACCTCCTGTGTCTGTAACCACAGAGAGCATTGTGAGAGAACCATAACTGTAGTTCACTCATATGTTATTTTACTCTTCATGTAATTCACATTTAAAGGCAGTAGTTTCATAAAACTTAAAGCTAGTTATGTTATGTTATGTTGTAAAGACAAAGGACTGGACCATCTTCTTTTTCTTTCGACTTGTCCCTTTTTCAAGGGTTGCCACAGCAATGTTGTTTTGTTTTGTTTTCCATCTCTCCCTGTTCTCTGTATCTTCGACTCAGACTCCAACTATCTCCATGTCCTCCCTCACTGCATTCACATATCTCCTCTTTGGCCTTCCTCTTTGTCTCCTACCTGGTAGCTCCCTATTTAACATTCTTCTACCAATGTATCCACTGTCCCTCCTCTGCACATGTCCAAACCATCTCAATCTGGCTTCTCTAGCCTTTTCTCCAAACTGTCCTGTCTGTGTTGTCCCTTTAATGACCTCAATCCTGATCCTGTCCATCCTTGTCACTCTTGTCACTTTTCCTCAGCTGTTCCATCCTGCCTGCACTCTATTCTTCACCTTTCTTCCACAGTCTCCTCTGCTCTGAACAGTTGATCCTAAGTACTGTACCTAAACTCCTGCACCTTCATCACCTCTGCTCCTTGTAACCTCACTATTTCACTGTTCTCCCTTTCGTTTACACACATGTACTCTGTCTTGCTAGTCCACAGGACTGGACCATCACATTATCAATACAGGATTTTAGGAAAAGCAGAAAAGAATTCCTTTGTCAAAGGACAAACAAAGAATGTGACATTGTATGAGGTAATTGAAACAATGCTGCAGAGAATGGGTGATGTAATTAAAGCTAAAGTCAGTATGTGACTCACTTTTCTGTGCAGCTGTGTAATTTAATTTCGCAGACTTTGTTAAATAGGGATTTTCTCATTTATGCAACAGCATGCTCTGATGACTTAGGCAAAATGTGAACAGGATGCAGGTTCATTGATCAAATCCCGATATTAACCATTTATTAGGACATCAAATATCATTTGAGGCTTTAGAATGTCAAGTACCTTAACTTTCCTCTGCAGCTCGTCCTCCACATCTTTAAGCATTCCTATCAGGATAAAACACGATAGACAGGTATCTTTAACTTCACTCATTTCAGTCCATTGAAATACCGCGCATACATGTTAACATAGATCTGAAAATGTACCTGTCACACGCAGGTCTGTGACATTATTGGCCATTTTAAAGCCATAAGTCATGGCCTGGAAATCTTCCTGCAGAAAAGTACAAGACAAAGATTGTTCCAGTTTAGCTTTCAAAGTTGTCCTTAAACTTGGCCAATTAAAAGGCTCCTTACCTCCTCAAACACAGCGGCCTTGTTGACCTTCTCTCGTGCAATGTCGCACACTTTTAAAATGCCCAGGGCAAAGGCTTTGAGGGCTGGCTCTTCAATCAAGTCGGGGTTATGGACGTAAAGGCAGGTAAAGACAGTCTGTGCCAGGGAGTGACCCTCCAGCCAGGTGATCTACACAGTGATCCAACATAGTATTGCGTTTTACTATATTTTCACCGAAGCTGTACTTTTACAGGTAAAGAAAGTGAAACTCACCAAACAACAGAAACATGTGTCTATGATGCCGATGAGTTCCGGTAGAAAAAGGTCTTTCACCTTTATGACATTTTCCTGTAATTACAAAATACCTATGAAACTGTATGCAGTACTTTTTCTGACTTGTATGAAAATGTTTGTGCAGCAGCAATGCACCTTAATAGCTTGTTCAAAGTTGAGCACTCTTCGGTTGACTTGGTTGCCAATCATTCCAGCGTCCATCTTGGGATCCATCATCTCTATGGCAGACATGGCCTCAAACAGACCAAACCTAACAACAAGGCAGATAATATATTTTGTATACACAATTAAGTAAATAAAATGAGTGTTAGCAGGGGCTAAGACAATGATGATACTGATGTAATTGACTATACAGATAACTTTATGGTCAAGTTAAAAAGTCAGATTTTATTTATAATTACACTAATGCAGATTAAAATGTTTATAATAAACATGAATAAATATGAATAACCAAATAGGGGAAGGGAACAGAGGAGATGAGGAAGTTATAGGCAGGTTTGGTGTTAGGGAGAGGAACTTGGAAGGACAGGCAGTGGTAGATTTCGCGAAGAGAACGGAAATGGCTGTGGTAAACACCTATTTCCAAAAGAAAGAGGAACACATGGTGACGTACAAGAGTGGAGGCAGGTTCACACAGATAGATTATATTCTATGTAGAAGAGGTAATCTGAGGGAGATTTATGACTGTAGGGTGGTGGCAGGTGAGCGTGTAGCCAAACAACATTGGATGGTAGTGTGCAAGATGACGATGGAGGTGAAAAACAGGAAGAGAGTGAAGACAGAGCAGAAGATCAAGTGGTGGAAACTAAGGAAAGAGACATGTTGTGAAGACTTCAGGAAGGAAATAGGGGCAGTTCTGGGCTTTGTTGGGGAGTTCCCAGATGATTGGGAGACTACAGCTACAGTGATTAAGGAGACAGGTAGGAAGGTGCTAGGTATGTCCTCTGGGCAGAGAAAGGAGAACAAAGAGACCTGGTGGTGGAATGATGAGGTCCAGGAGAGTGTGCAGAGAAAGGATTAGCGAAGAACATATGGGATAGTGAGAGAACAGAAGAGAACAGACTGGAGTACAAAGAGAGGACAAGGGAGGTGAAGAGGGAAGTGGCCAAGGCCAAACAAAAGGCATGTGAGGAGTTGTATAGATTGGCGAGACAGAGAAATCAAGCTGGGAAGGGTGTGCAGGAGGTGAGGTTGATTAAGGACAGAGAGGGGAACGTAATCACAAGTGAGGAAAGTGTGCTGAGAAGATGGAAGGAATACTTTGAGGAGTTGTTGAATGAGGAAAATGAGAGGGAAAGTAGAAACGAGGAACCAGAGACTAGTAGGAAGAAGGTAGATCAGGTTAGAAAGGATGAAGTTAGAAAAGCCCTGAAGAGGATGAAGAGTGGAAAGTCAGTTGGTCCTGATGACATACTAGTGGAAGTATGGAAGTGCTTAGGAGAAGTGGCGGTAAATTTTCTGACTGGGTTGTTTAACAGAATTTAAGAGACTGACAAGATGCCTGATGAGTGGAGGAAAAGTGTTCTGGTGCCAATTCATAAGAAGGGTGATGTACAGAGTTGTAACAACTACAGAGGGATAAAGTGGATGAATCATACAATGAGGATTTAGGAAAGAGTAGTTGAAGCTAGGTTGAGGCAGGAAGT